TAATAAATCTTTTTGTTGTCTCCATAATAACTAACAATTTGCTGTGCCAGCAAAATTATTTTCTTCCGTGTCATCGAACGTGTGTCATCGAGTATGTAAATTTAAAGCAGCATTCTTTTAACACGCAATCAAATATTGCGGTATATTACCGTCGAAGATGATTAATATTTTATTTTATTTATTTTCTTTAGCGAAAAAGTTGAGGCAAAGCATTAAAAACAAAGCAGTTATAAAGCTGATGCGTCTTGTGACAATAAAACGAGCATAAATTTATAACTCTCGATCGCAAGTTGCCAGTCTCATGTTGTGTGTTCAATAAAGTAAATATTATTATTATTATTGTCATCATTTACCCTCGAATAATACATGCACTTTTTATCGGAGGAAACTTTACTGGGATCGTCGTACTTTATCGCGTAATTTATTCTTCAATTGTGTCCACCCTTCGATTGGTTGAGTTCTGTGATTATTATCTCACTGCGCGCATCGCTGATATCTTATTTCTTCCGTCTCTTTCTCTTATTTCCTGTCCCCTTCTTATCCGTTCCGCATTGATATTTATCTTTCGAGCACGGACACAGTTTGCCGCGAGCGGTCGAACCGCGGAACAGTGATTTGCCAGGGCATTCTTCGACAAATCCGATTGGAGAGAAAGTCGAAATGTGAATCTTGTAACTGTGTCAAATGAGCGAAAAATAGCAACGCGGGAAATATCAGTTCTCACGCGCGTACACGATTTCCGGTTCACAGGAGAACGGATTGCCGAATCAATTTCTTTTGTAAATAAAGTTCACGCGATGAAATATCGTCGTTGCGCGCGTGGTAATAACATATCAAAATATAATCCTTTTATATGAACGTCTATATCCTATGTTATTATTGTATTAAAATATTAACTGGCGATGACACAGTTCGGAAGCGAGAAAGAGAAAATATTTCTCGAACGATTTGAAAGTCAACGCCGTCGATATTTTCTCTCGATACATTCATCGGATCGCCGGGATTCAGCCGGTAATCAAAGAGATAAACCGTCGCTCATACAGACAAATCCCTCCTGCGTAAACACGGGCTCTCCCTCGTGTTCCGGATCATCGTTCCTTTCTCCCTTTCTTCCTCGCTCTCTACGCGCGTATATATCAGCAGTTAAAACACGGCCATCAACCTTGGCAAAAGGGTGCAGTCCCATCCCTCTCCTGGTAACTATATTTCACCGCTCGTTGCCGAATACGGCGGCGCCCTTCGCTTATAATTCCGACTGCGTGTTCTGATAAAATTTGCATGTGCGTATGTATGTGGAGGAGAGGCGTCGGCTTGCGCCTCGGCTTTCTTGAAATTTCACGGAGAGTCACTTCTTCTTCAAGGTTATCTGCATAATCTCGACGCGACGAACATACTGATTTAGCGTCGAGTAATTGAATGGACCCTCGCGAGAACACCGCTGCCGGTGTCTCCTGTCGCTATTTTGTGCATGCGTGTTTCGCGGCATAGCAGGACGAACGTGAAAGTACAACAACCGGATAATCTCATTACGCGACAACGCGATGGTAAAGAACGGATTTACTCACAGCTCTCGGCGAATCGGCGGTAAAACTTGTAGAAAGAAATTACAAAATTCGTGAACCGGTAGAGGAAGCGCAAACGATGATCGTTGGCGGCGACAGAAGCAAAGGTCGATCGACGCGTTCATTCATCGTCACCGCGGTGGCGCGGACTGATACAGTCATTCGCAGGCGCGTAATAATTAATTTACGGCGCAGGCGACGTAGTAACGTTGAGGAAGGGAGTTTCATAATTCAGTGGCGACACGTACGAGTTTACGCGCTCGGGCACGTGTCTACCGGCGCTCGTCATCGTCGCTGCGGTACGCAGTTTGCATTCGTCGAGGCTGTTTCGAGCGGCGCGACGAGGCGACGGCGGCGGCTTGCCAGACAACTCGGTTATAACGATTGAAGTTTCGTCGTGGCGTGGATTACATCCTCGTAATTGCGCGCATACCTCGAGCCTCCGTCTTGCAAGGACGACAGAGAGAGAGAGGCTTCGTCGGAGGGGCTTCCTTTAAATCGCGGGTGAAATGAGGAGGTTCGAGGGAGGAAGCTCGCAGCTCGGGTGTAAGGAGGCGTAGAAGCGGCGACGGGGAGAAGAGGTCCTTGCACTCGTACTGACGTCTCGCAGCTTGACGTACGACAAAAGTCCCCAACGCAGTCGTGGCTCGATCCCGCCGCGCTCTCTCGACTCCTCCCTCGGGAATTATAACGCGATAACGCCCCCGAGCGGCGCACTGATAAGCGTCGAGAGGGTGCGTAGTTAGTGCGCGAGGCGCTTTGTCGCGGAGGATTATTTCGCCGCTCGTCCGGGGAAGTCTGTCGCAAATCGTGCGTTTCGATGGCGCATTAGCCGGGCTCGTGAACGCATACGGGCCCGGTATACGTCCCGCGTGCGGGATCAGCGCTCTTCCGGATGTTCTCACGTATATATTGTGTACGCGTGCTCTCGCGTAGTTTACATTCCAGCATTCTAGAATCACAAGAGTCGCCCCACTCGAATCCATTGGTATTACCAATAAATTCCGTCGCGTGCGGTAATTCAGAAAATTGTATTATTCAAAGCTTTGTTATTGCCAAAGCATATTAATAGATATGAAACGCTGGATGCGCGAGAGCGATTCTTCAATATGTAATGAACGTAAACTACCGGCGAGAAGTGGCCGGATTGCACTGCGCGAATTTTTTTTTTCACCTCACACCGCACGTAACTCGCACACACGCGCGCGCGAGAGGGTGACCGTTGGCCGTCGCGATGGGTGATAATAACGCGCTGACTGTTAACTATGATATTTAACGCCACCGAGTGCCGTTAATTAACGAATAACCCATGACACACACCGGCATCCGCAGCAGCGTTGCCGGCAGGTTGCGCGGTCATAATAGGTTACTAGCGTCGGGCTAAGGTATATGCTACAAGCGAGACACTTGAGATTTAAGGACCCACCACGCGTTATCCGATTGCCTCATACTGTACCGCGTAGTTTACTGATTCGCGACGGGATGGGGAGAGAAAGAAGGAGGAGAGAAGAAACGGACGCGCGAGACGGAGATCGGCCGTTGCACCGCGCGTCGAAGATTCAATAAGTCGACGATCGTGCGTTCTTTTGAACGCGGTTACACAATTAATCCTAGGGGATTAAGCACTCGTGGGATAGAGAGAGAGATACTCTTGCTTTCATTAATTTCACCCTTTTATTTATCGTACGTCCGCCGCGGGTGTAGAGCCGGTTATTTCAAATATTGTCTCCGCCGGTCGCGCGCGTCGCGTGCGCGACGCGCAACGAGAAAAATAAAGCGCGCTGTATGTCATCGCCCAGATTCGCCTCGCTGTTATCAACGCCTGCGCGTCGGATGAGCCTCGCTCAACGATGCCGTATTATATTAATGGAAAAAAATACACTCTTCGTAGTGCGCAACGTATTACGGTTTCGCGGGGGAATAATTGAAGTCAGAGATATAATTACAACCTCGGCCGTGCGGGCGCGCGCGCGCGCTCTCTCTTCCCCTCAAGTCATTATCGTGAAATTCGCAAATGCGTTAATTAAAATTCGCGCAGCCAATTGTGAAAAATTTGACGAGGCGAGCCACGCGATGTTCGCGTATGAATGATCCCGCTCTATTATTCGAGGCCGAATAATCCACGATAAAAAGAAAAGGGAAATTATGACGCGCTCACATTAAGCGCTTTTGTTTAAATGCCTTTTCGGGTATAGCGGTGCAGTAAGAAATGAAAGGAAATATTCTTTAATTCCCGTATAGAAATTTCCCAAACGTTCCCAAGCACAATAGAGATTCTAATCAAATTACCCAAACTTATTCCAAATAAGTGTAATAATATTGCGATACTAATTAAGAATTCTATTCTTATCCAAATTGTAAGAAAATTTTAGGAAAACGTTCGGCAGAGCAAATAGAATGTAAGTTTCCCATTTGGATTCGCATTTATGAAATATTACATTCATGACACATTACATCTCTAATCCGAATCTTCATATATTTCCTAATTAGAATCCATCATTTTTTTCGGAAATCGAAATAGACTCCAATTAGATCACAGGAAATTTTCCAGGCAGATTGTAGGACGTAAATTAACATAAGGGGCCATTCAACAATTACGTCACACAACGAAAGGAGAAGGGAGGTTTATTAGCTTGCGTGATGGTCTGTGACACATTAGATGGTATAACTTGTAAATATGAATGCGCGTGGTTATGTACTTTATTTACACTCATGACACGTTTAGCGAACATTTTTAAGTTTTGATATGGTTTCGTGTTAATAATCAAAATGTTAATTTTTTAATATTGATTCTTTTAAAAACATAACTTTTACTAATCAAAATTATAGAATAAAGTAATTAATTTGATATCATGCCTAAAAATAAGATTTGTATTTGAGAAAAGGATAATAACGTGCAGTTTTGTTGAAAATTTCCAGGTGAATTCCTACGAAAATCCAACGGAATGTGAATCCATATAGGATATTAAAAATTCATATAGGAATCTACACGGTATGTGAAAATCTATATAGGATTACACATGGTGTATGAAAAATCATACATATATATATATATATATAGGAAATTACATGGATGTTAGAACCTAGGTTTTTGACGCAAATTATCAAGGACAACTATAGGATATCATATGAATTTCTTTTATAAATTCCCACCTGGTTTTTTCAGCAAGAGGTCTAATAATTATTTTTCATGATATAGTTATTATATTTTTTTTTATTCTATAGATGCGGGGGTGAATAATTCTACATGCCACGTAATATTGGAAGGAAACAAATATTTTATAACGAAATATGGAGAAGGGGAGAAGGATAAAAATGCCCAAATTTCGCGTGACATAATTATTAAATGGCCTCTAATAGCATTAAGGAGATAATAGCGCAATTAATTCGTTTTTAATCACTTAGTAACGCTAACCCCAAATCATCTATTTCCTCCAGACAGGTATGCTGACGATTGTTGAGCCACCCGACATCATCCCTGAAGGTACATCGAGCGACATGAATGTGGGCGAGGGTGGCCAGGTAAATAACTTCCATTTACGTTACGCAGCAATCATTTTCATCTTATTTAGCTAGAAAAAGTATCTTCGATTGATAACGACCGAGGGAGTTGCGACTTTTTAATGATGAAGAAAACATTCCTTCACATCGCTGCACCTTGAAATATGACGATATTTTCGAGTCGTTTCCGATCATTAGTTAACCGTCGACTCAATGTCGAAGGATTCCGCCGCGCGCGCGCGAGCGCGGAAATAAATTTGCGAGTAAATATGCCAGGAAGAGAGATGCGTTATGGCGCTACTAGGCCGAGGGTCGTTAAATAATTTACCCTGTGCAGGAGCAGTCATGAATAAACGACGGTTTATTACTTACAAATGTGGGCTGATTTACGCGTGTAGTAAATTATCAGGCCAACGTTATACCACGTGATTCATACCGGAGAAATCTATATATCGGAGAACAGCAATACGGTTGCGAGTGCAACGTTTCCGCGGGCGAGCTCGCAAATAACTCGCAACTTCGCCTATTCGTCGTCATTAACGCTTTAAACGCGGGCTCGCCGCATTATCGCCGAGGTGTAACGCGCCTTAAGTTGAGAATTCCGCGATAATAACGATAATCGTGAAAAAATCGCCGTCAAATTTGCTGAAACACGTTCGTCGTCCATCGGTGCGATATCAAGTTCATCGATCAATTAACCAACTCGGAAAGATGCGGACACCGTTTAAACTAACAGAACAAGCACAAACGTAATATCGCGGCGCGCTTTATGACGTGTGTGTAAGCGATACCGTGACTGTAATTTGCGACACCTGTTGCGAGCGCCGTTTTAACGCTGTACTGTCACGAGACTCCCTTCCTAGCTATTATTCAGTTTCTTTCCGTTGTTAGAAACTTCAATCGGCGCCCCGTAATCTCGTGCAGTCCCGAGAAGATCGAAAAAATAAGGTCGCGTGTATCAAGCGGAAGCCGCGTAATCGACTTTACGTCTAACAGCTCGCGCATAATTCGCTTAATCCGATAATTCTTTGCTCCGCGTAATTGCGCGGGCATGCTAGACGCCGCTCGCTATTGCGGTACACGCGACGGTAACACACAACCGGCGTTCGGCGTTTCACGCTGGATGCTGTAAGTAAGCCATCAGTTAAAATAAGTGACCTGTTGCTCACAATTCATATTCCGTGGCAGCCGCGCAATTTGTGCGAATACCCATCTCATCCTCGCGTTTTTCCGCGCGCGTGGCCAACGGTGTCGCTCGAGTAAAGAATATTGCGCTCCTCCCTCAGAATGTCTGACAGGACGCTTTTACGAAGACGGGACAGCCCAGCACAGCCGCCGTCTCGTGGACCGTTTTAAACTTTGAAATTATACCGGCGCGTATGCTACAGCAGATCCTCTTATTATACCGCTGCTGTGGTCGGCGTACTCCGAAAATTGTATCGTCGTTCGTTTGTACAAGTTAGTCGCTCGCCTCCTCCGACGGTATCGTCGCGAAACGTGTGTCCGACTATCGCGTGTCGCGTCGTCCTCGTTACACAACGGAATTACGTATTGCAAATATGCGACGTCTGACAGGTGTGCGATGTATTCGGTAGAAAATTAAACTACATATCGTCCGCTTTGATTTTTCTATCGCGATAAACTTTAATTCCCAGCTCGTTTCCGCGCTAGTAATATTCTTATCAACATGGGCTGTACACCGGGTAAATGTAACGTCAAGCGTAACGTGCACCTTCTAAAACGCTACTCAGATAGCGTGTGTATGCGTGTACGTGTGTCTGTGTGTACGTGTACAGTAGGGAAATATTAGTAAACACGTCTAAAAAATAAATACATGAGATGTCTGCAAAGCGACATCATTTGTGCTGATTCGTTAAAGTACATCATGTCACATACCACACATACATGTCCGTCTTTAATTTCACGGACTTAATATATCACATACGACAGGCAAGAGCAACGAATTCCAAACATGACTGTCAGTCGTCGCACCACGAACGTCGAAAAAAAATTCTAAAATTTCCCTCCGACCCAACGCGCCGGATAAAGTTGATAAAAAATTGAAATTTCAATCGCGTTTCGGGTTCGTGAATTTGTCTCCTGTCGGCGCGCGCCAGCTCCATCCAGATAAATAAGTAATTTTGTCGGACGATAACTGTTGTTATTAACGACGTGTCTCTCGTGTGCTCGCGAAAAAATCTAAAGCTTGCAAATTTTCCGTGGTGCGTCGCTCTCTTTTCGTTCCGCGAGGCGACGCGACTCTTTTTCCCCGTTCCGGCCCGAATGAATTTCGATACGCGGGATTACAACTTTCAAACTCGTTTTCTCCGAGCAATAGGATATCGCGTTCAGGATATTTGTTCCCGGCCTAGCTACCGCCATGACTCGAAATTGATAAGACTCCTAACGAAACGCGGAAGAAACTCTCCTCGTTCGCGCAAACTTTTCCAAAATTCGAGAAGTAATACACAAAACGTCGTTTCTATCAGTGAGTTCTATTCGAGAGTTCATTGTCTTCTTACATAAATGTAAATATTTGAATATAGTATAGTTTATGGTATGATGATATGATGTGATATATAACAAACCGAAAGCGCTGATAAACATTCGGAGGTAGCTAAATGACTTGTTAAATTTATTTTGCGTTTTTTTTTAGGCTCCGGAGTAGTCGTTACGACAGTCTTTTTTCAATGACAGGAACAAGTATAAAAAGTGTCAACTTTAGTTGCATACATCTCAGCTCTCGAATAGTCAATCTTTTCCTAATTGCAGAGACAATTAAATGATATTTCAGTGTATAGTGCAAGTTTCATCGTATCAAATTCATTTCGCCTTACAAATCTCTTAAAAAAGAAAAATAACTGCATATAATATAATTTATACACGTGTACATTACACGTGTACATGGCATATGATGTAATAATTTACATTACACCTCGGTACAGTGCTAACGTGATGTTCATCTAAAAACGTCATAGATATTGCGAGCAGGCAGTCGCGTGTCAGTAGAATGTAAGCCAACAAATAGCGCAGTATACCGCGACACGTGTCGTGTCGTTAATTGTCAACATGCCGTTTGTATTTTCCATTGTAGAACACACGGATATTCATTTCGCGTGCGCGAGTTTCGCGACTCGTAGCTCCGCCTCGTGTTGCCGTTCAGTTCGAATATCCATAACTCCGTAACGGATGAGAATCGAGCCGATATTCATAATTGATGGGCCCGGACACGGAAACAGGGAACTGGCGACAAATTTTGAGGATCGTGTTGACGCGACGAGTCGGCCATTTCGCAAATGGCTGCGGGATCGTTCGGTCGTGTTAAAGCCGAGCGGTTTAGAAGCGGGCGAATCGTCGGACCGAATGTCAAACGTCATCGAGAATTCGAAGAGTAGGCGCGCGCGTAAAAACCGGCCGCGTGAGCGTAACGGAGGGGCAAGTAGCCGTTAAAAATTCCTCGGTATCCCGGATATTTCATGCCTCTCGCGACTATGGATTCGTTTTCCGCTCGAGTATTCGCGCGAGTGAACGGCCATTGTTCCGGACAAGCGTCCTCGCGCGTGTACGTGTTTTACATAGCGCTGGAGGCCGCGCCGCTGCGAACTGTGCACGAGAGCGTACTTCTCCCTTTCTCTTCCCGCACTCCTTTATTCCTCCAAATATATTTGGATGAAGCACGGCATTAGTGGAGTGCAATAACGAACTCGCTTCTCTTTATAATTCCGGTTTCATAACACGTACAGGTGAAGTTAACGTGCCGGGCGAGAGGCGTACCCGCGCCGCGCGTATCCTGGCGCCGGGAAGACGGCAGGAACATTATAATTCGGGAGCAGTCTGCAGTAAGCGGCCAGAACCAGAAGTCTCACGGTAAGATTTAATATAGATGGTACGCCCATACGCGCCACGCCGTTCCGCCGATATAGCGCGAAATGTACAATTATGTTTTCCTTAGGCGCGCTCGCGCCTCCGCACACGATCCCGTTAGTATTCAAATTCCCTCATTACGGGAGAACCTCGGTTACGGATTTTAAAGACGAATTCCGCACGGGAACCGATTCCGCTGATGCTTTCCGGGATGATACCTTCGACCGCGACTTCTGAATGGCCGGCCGTCGTGCCGCGGGATCGTTGAGCGTAATGTCGAATTTCACCGCGTCTAATATCGGGCCAATTATGGAACGCGAGCGCGCATCTGCCCTCGTCGGCAATTCTCCCCGTAATTTATGAGGAGCCAGTAGCGGGATTCATTTAAAATAGGAAATCGCGCTTTGCCGGGAGTTATCTCCCAGCTATAGACTCTGCCCGTCGATCCCGCTGATTCCGCGATCAATTTTTCTTTCCAATTAGTGCGATATAATCTGTCCGATCTCCCGCAATCGTTCACGCTCCACTTTCCCCGCGATCGGCTTCGAGAAAGAGCTTTTCCGTAGCGACGTCGGACGAACGCATCCTCTTGATTACATACGGACCGTGGTACATAAGCAATAAGAAAATCGACCGACCAATCGGTATGTTTCCCTAGGTTTATATATTCCAAAAGACGATAGAAGCGACGATAAATTTGGTTTTAAACAGAAACAACTATACGAAAGGAAAGTAGATCCCATAGCTAAAAATTAGCTTCCACGTGTGAAAATTAGCTATCTATATGATACAACTGAAATTTAGTCAATTTAACTAATTTTTTTGTCCCTGTAGTTTTTAGTTCCTACGGCTGAAAACTAGGTTTGGTAACTAAATTTCAGTTGTATTATATAAACAGCTAATTCCTTCTTTCTGTGTAGGATTTCAATGAGTTGAACTTCTGCTTAAGGCCGAATTTATCGACACACACACACACACACGCACGCTTCCATCATCTTTGGGAATACAGAAATCTGAAGAAATATATTTACAGTTTAAGAAATAAGTCTTACTGTTTCTTCTATGTGCCATCCCCTTAAAAGCCCTGTTTCGCGTGTTTCTTAACGGAAATGATGACTCGATGACGACGACGTCGGTGGAACGTTCGTACGTGGACCGAGGGAACAGCGTTCGCGAATCGAGCGAGCCGTCCCCTCGTCCTCGCCGTCGGTTCCCGGCTAAACGACGTATTTAGTATTCACTTCAGCGTGGTGTTACTAATAGCAGGCAAATTTCACCGTACTGTCGGCGTGCTCCACGGCAAGGATGCGCGTCGCTGCAACCGGTGCATGCGGCACATGCCGGGCGCGGCTCCTCACCTTCAGACGCCCCGGACTCGGCTTATTGTCGGCACTACAATCGCCGTGATTATCAGAGACACGTCGGAAAAGTTCGTCTCGGTCGCGCACGTCGATGCAATTAACGTCGCGCGGTCGTTCCGCGTTGAGCCGTCCAGGGTAAAAAACGACGAGGGGAAAAGGAGAGAGAAAGCGTACGCAGCGATAATGAGGATGAAATTTTTAGATTCGATCGTCCGGTGGACCGTATTAAATTTTAATCCCACGGAGATCTATGTCTCGTGAATTTTTTCCGATTACTAAACATTTTAAATATGTTACTTGCTTAGAGAGACGTTTCTGAGAAATATATTCCCCGCGTCTATTCCTGGTTCGCAGCGCATTTAATTGATCCTGACCGATTGATCGTTTCTTGCTTCGATTTCCCTCTTCGAGAGATTATTTCGAGACAATTAATTTCTACGTGTGCAAGCGCGAGCAACGAATAAAATATTACCGTCGGGGGACTGGTTTATGCCGAGTGTAGTCGCGAGATTCGAGCCGAGACTTTATGATATTTCGGTTGGAGATTCGCAGAGCGCGGCGTTAAAGCGCCAGCAAAACAGCGGCGCTCGCTCGTTGGTTCCGCGTAATTAATTCGCCAGGCGGAAAACACGAGCGTGTGTCTCAAGACCTTCGGGAAAATCGATGTTTTTGCGAGCTGAACTGCGACGCGAGCGTAACGAGGCCGCAGGTGAGGAGGGCTCGTGCGTTTGCTCACGACGTTCCGCGGTAAGGAACAGATGCAGGTGCAACAAATTGCGCTCGTCTTATCCGCGCGCGCGCGCCACTTCGTTGCTTGCATCTGAATATGCTCGTAAGAACGATATACGTTGGCCGTAACAAACGTCCAGTGTCGAAATTTTAGTCTTAACCTTGCAAGTTCTCCCGAACTGGAAGAATTAACGGGGAATCTCGAGAATATCCCGAGGCGAAATTTTGCTTCTACATCAATTATCGAACTTAAAACAACCGATACAGAATATCGAGATCTAGCTTTGTAGTATATTAGCGGGCTGTTGTTCTATCTTGATTCTACGAATGGCTAGTATCGTTTTCTTCCCGTTGAGGTTTAGAAAACATTTATTCGAGAGTAATTTAATATCCGGCTACCTTTGCATTTAATCGTTACTTTTAACGTCTCTTGTCGTATGAAGTGCACGTGCAGATCGACGAATAATAAGAGATTTACAAAGTTATAATTATTCGTCAAACAAGATCGTACGTGTCGAGCGCTATGAATTCCGAGTTAACTTTCGAGTCAGATATTTCGTCATTCTCCACAAGTTCGTCAAATGGCCTTCATAATAAATGATTTGACATACCCGATACATGATGTATCATTATTCACGTCTCAGTGTTCTGCATTCTCCGTCCTGGCTTCCGATTACTCCATCGTGGCACTTCGGATATTCACTTGTGGCGCCAACCTTCACGTAGCTACAATTCAATTGAGGAAGGAGGTTAGGTTAACGTTCGTTAATGCGATGAGCGCCCGATGAAATATATCAAGAAAACCAGCAGGAAAGCATAAATATTTGAGTTACCCGACGGGAATTATAACCAAACATAGACATGGTACACCGCGTCGCGGTATATTTATGGCTCGTGCGCTCGAAACGCAATAATTCGGTCGCAGAATAGTACTCGACGCACGAACGACTTAACACGAACTTTTGATAACTTCGACCGCCACATTCGCGACATTTTGAAAGTATCGATTGTTGGCATCTCTCCGCCTCACTAAACGCGAACGTCGTCTATTGTCGGAGACTGACTGCTGGCGAATGCCAAGCGTGACTTTACCTTTCCTGCTGATTGTTTTGGTTCGCTCGAGCTTCACGTACCTTTTTATAAGCCTGTGTTACTTTACGTCCCAATTCGGCGAACGATGCGGAGAATGTGATCGCTGCGTTACAATAGCCGGCGGATGATTCGAATATTTCGTTAAAGCACGTCACGCCCTCACGCCGAACACGGTGAATTATGGAACTACGATCTGTACTTTGGCAACACTTTTTGTACTGTACTTTCCGTGTACACTTTCTGTATTTCTGCACTCTCTTGCAATCTTTGTCTTTCTTCCTCTTCTGCAACAAGATATGAATAAATGCGCATTTAATAATAAGTATAGAGCATATATTTTTAGACAACCTGTGTTATGTTATATCTCGAGATTTCCCATTCAAAACTCTCTTCAATGGAATTTGTAGGGTTAATGAATTGTTAAATATATAATATATTATTAAGTATATTCGACTTATATATTACTTTCGAAATCTAAAGCGCAATTATTGAAAACTTGATTTATGCGTGTAATTTATACATATATACATGTATATATTTGTTTAATTTATATCTAGTTTATCTAATTTATATCTATACTTTTAAAAGTGGTATCCTCAAAATGTACGACTAAATTTAGAAACCGTGACTATAGAACTTCATATTAAAATTACAACATGCAGACATGGCATATTTCACGATGAAGTATCGGAGAAACATAATTAGGGCGAGTATAATTTCACTGTTACTTTATTCATTATCGCGCACCGTTCTCGATAACTTCAATGAGAAGTTCGCTTATATTTTCACATATACTTTCTTCGTCCGTTTATACACCATTTATTAATTACTATAGACGTTTAAAAAATTCTTTTTTAGCTCGGGCATTACAAAAATAGAGAGATTTTATTAGCAAAAATATAACCAATAATATATATTAATAAATATTAAATAAAATGTAAGAAAAATGTTTTTTTTTTAACAAAGAAGCACAATTATAAAAAAATTGAGTGGCATTGAATTTAATGAATGCTAGCATATTTAATGGTTGTTTTTCATTAAATAACAATAGCCATTCAAAACAGGTTGTCGCTTAGCGTTTTCCACTAACTACGTAAAAACATGTCATTAAATTAGAACACTTTCGAGGAAAGATTGATTTGAATTAAACATAGAAGCTCGCATACAAATTAGGAATTAATTTTATACTATTTATTATTCTCTTTTATTTAATACGATGCGATCGTATATCTAATCTTATATCTGTCTTTATTAATAGGCAAAGTGAGCTTTTGTTCCTTCACGATATGCAGCATAAAATTATTCACTGCTCTTCTCGCGAGATAATTACTCGCTTAAAGTTTACGTATCATTAGATTTTAATGAGCTATATTACGTGCGTAAGTTAACATTAATTTGATTAAATTCTGACATTTTTGTCGAGAGAAAATTTACTCTGAATCGATCAGAGAATATCTCATCAGTTTAGGGCTGAGACGCGAATGATTTAAAAAAAATTACACACTGAATACTATGATCCCAACAATCTCTGATTCCTTAATATTCACGGTTCTCAGTATCTACTACCGTGACCGAGTACTTTGGTGAGGACCTAAAGATAACGAAGATCTCGCGGAACGAGATGGGAGTTTATCTGTGCATCGCCAGTAACGGCATCCCGCCCGCGGTCAGCAAACGTATTTTTATCAACGTTCATTGTGAGTAATAGTGATTACCGCTCGGGCTACGTCGGACAGAGTTTCGTTGCGCTTCGATTCCACCACACCGCCGCCTGCCGAAAATGCAATCCTATACTCCGATTTCGATTTACAGTTTCACCGGTGATTCACGTACCCAATCAGCTGGTCGGCGCGCCCTTGGGAACCGACGTGGTCCTAGAATGTTTCGTAGAGGCGTCCCCGAAGTCGATCAACTACTGGGTCAACGACAAGGGTGAGATGACACACTTGATTCATTCACTAAAAACTTTCTCGTATTGCGCGATATAAGAGTCCTTTGGTGCTGTGATACCGCGATATTTTAGCGTAATAGCACGACAGACTGGCGCGCTTCGATCGCGACATCAGATTAGAAGACTCAAAGTACGCTGCATACTTCCCCGTATCGTTCGTGTATCAGTTTCAGTTATTACGGACATGTTTATAGACGTTGAAAGAGATGGCCTGGATTTTATAGTCGTATTAAAATAACCGATAATAATCATTCTTCAATAATTTCGTGTGGCTTAAAAAAAAAGTGGCACAGAAAAAAATGCTAGATTCAAGTAAATAATTATTTTAATACTCCTTAAGCGGATTTTTACTTGGATCAAGTCATATTTATTTGATCCAAATAAAATTTACTTAAAATAAAAAGTTGCCAAAGAGTATCGGGATAATTATTTATTTGAGTCTAGCACTTTTTCTGCGTGCGATTTCTGTTAATTTCATTATTGAAAATATCGCGATAGTTAAACTTACCAGACTATTATAATTTTTCGCGCGTAAATCGGTTTCGGGTTTTATAAGTCTGATGATATTGACTGTTGTGTTGAGATTTTCAGTATATGTTGAGAAAAATCAATATGTTACATTTAACGAGACAAAAGAGATTTATGGACACGTCAAATATATTTAAAACAACTGAAAATAAAAAAATTAACGGTGCTACGAGGCACTATTTGATCGTATGAATGTCTTCTAGCCATCCTATATAAGACAATATCGACATTCAAATCTTTTTGATTGTACACATATCCCTTGAGTTACGCGATAAGTGCGTTTTCACGAATAATCGCGTAACTTTAAAGCCGTTAACTGTCGAAATAACTTCCTCTATAAAGCTCCTTACCTCTTAATCTGATACCACACATGCATATGTTATCTATTATTCAACAACGTCCATTGATTTTGATAAAATAAGGACAAAATTAATTATAAAAATAACGAATTATATTTCGCCTTCTCCCGAAGTAAAATTATTTAACATAACAATAAATAATGCAGAAACTATATTCCAATTCGTAAACGCGCGCGCGAATTCTATTGTGTCCGCATAAAATAGTTGCAGTTTGACCGGTGCGCTACTTGCCGCAAGTAACACGGTCCGTTGCAGCGGCGATTGGTTTGTTAACTAATTACCGACTGTAACAAGCGGAGAATGTTCAAACGTTAATTACCCTTGCAAGACAAATCCGATTATGGGCCGTACTTTAGTCTAGGCGATCCCGATACACCGAGCGAAAGATACACGCGGGCATAGATATCGAACGGTATCGTGTATTCTCCCATATCGTCGGCTTCGGGCAACTTAATTGAAAGCGCGCGCGTTTTCGCAAGCCTCTTCCGTTTTAAGCTAATTTTCTTGAAGTTCGGATGCGATGGCACGCAAATAAATAAAATACACAACGCGCATTTCGGTAAGAAACAGCGGAAACTTTGAAAAATTAGTTCTCGGTATCGTAAACTGAAGTCGACCTGCGCCGCATGAACGAGTACCAGTCACATATCGCAACGACATATAATATCTTGGCTCAGAGAATTTACCGGGGAAACTTTAGATAGATATAAGAGAATACTACTTATTCAGACTCGCGGAAATATTCCCGCAGTGGATTGCGCCTCGCAAGAGCAGACGTCCTCCCTGCCGGTTTAACACACGCTCAGCTATCCGAAGCTGCTCGCTCCAACGCATTCGTATGCAATTTCGTCTCGCGTGGAAGATACCTTTCACTTGTTTCCCATTATATTCAACTGTTTCAACGTGTAATAAGAAAGCATAGTGGGGAATAGGCGAGATGTCTTATTTATAGCGAAAGACGTAACCTCTTGTCTTCAACTTTTCGCTGTGCGTAGCGCGCGAAGGCATCTCTCTAGAGGTTTAATTAAAATAATTCGGAACACTACTGCGAACGATTAAGCCAATCTAATGTAAATGTACGTAGCAGAACGCTCTAGGATTTTATTTAATTGTTAGAACGCTATCTTATCGAAACAGTTGAATAAACACAAGGTAATATTCGAAACGAAAAATTGGATGGCTGTTTAACTAAATTTAAAGCTTAAAACAATTATGATCGTCGAAAAAATATAAATTGAACATTCAACTGTCTCCTGTATGTAAACATTATTTTCCAATCCGCATCTGTCATGACGCATGACACCCTTTATTTCTCTATCCTAATTGCACATCTGATTTTCGATCGAGGGTCGCCTATTATTGTCGCGTATCGATCAATGGAAATGCACACTCTCGCGGAGAAATTCCCGCGACCTCGTGTCTATTCTATCGGAATCGGGATAATCAACTCTTGCTCTCCGCTTTGTTCCCAAGGCGCGATGATAATATCCAGCGTCAGGCATGACGTACAGGCGGTGGCGAAGTCGCAGTTCGAGGTCCGGATGATCCTCACTATCCGGAACCTGCAGAAACACGATGTGGGAACGTACCGGTGCGCGGCCAAAAATTCCCTCGGCGATGTCGAGAGCAGTATTCGATTATACGGTGAGTACACAGCGCGTTTTCGACCCGTTATCAAACGAAGTTTCCCGGGGAGCCCATAAAGAATACTTAATTCGGTTACACGACGGAACGTAGTCAAAACGGGTAGAATTTCGTTATCCGCGCTGCATTTCGTTTCAATGCACGTGTACATTCTTCCTGCTTCCCCTCCTCCCGTGCCAGCCTCCGCCACTTCTCCTTCTTCTCCAACTCTTTTCGATATTTGTAAACGCCGGAGATTAAGACTCGTACCGTGAAATAAAACCCGCGGATAGACCGGATAATTGCACGGCGGAGGCCGACGATGAAAAGTTTGCTGCCGCAAACTGTGAATGAATTACTGTACTTATAATCGCGCGGTAAGTGTGCCGCGCGTACTGCGATTAATTTTCTGCACGTTACGGCTGATAACAATTATTTCCTTGGAGATAACGCTGCGTCGGGATTTATTAATACCAGGCGCGCCGGCGTCTCTCAGGCTTGAATTTACAGACGTGGAAAATTGTATTTCGTGACTAATATCTGGAAAATCGTAACAAGGATCGAGCGCAACGTGGCAAAATCATTTCCCGCGGTCACGGATGAACGTTTCGAGCGAAGCGATACACCCGGTCTAACTTCGGCGCAAAGAATCCAGCGCGCTAAATTGCCATTGAATCTAACTTCATACGCCTTGGGCACTCGTTATTACAGCGTGTTTCGTGAAATTCAAGCTCGTACATGACATTAAATAAAGAACAACATTCCGTCATACAATCGGCGATATCTCTCCCCGACCCTCTCGCCGAAACTCCCCGATATTAGACAACTCCGCTCGTTTTTACACCCGGAGATTTCAGGTTTTACTGGAGAAGTAAAACTCCCGACTTCGTGGGATCCCACGGCAAACACGCTGTAAGGCGGCACGCGTAACGGTGCGAAACGCAGTGCACATCGGTGCGTAGCTGCGAACGAAACGATCTTAAAAGCGTCCGGGTAACAAGGCTCTCGACTGCTCCCGCAACGTACGGACGAAGTACGGTGCAGAAACGGCTTTTCGCCACGTTGCAACTCGGTTACACCAGGGTATCTCGCGGAGAGAACCGGGCTGGAGCTTGACGCGGCGAGGGGTGAAATCTGCTCTCGCGCACGACCTGTTATTCCTACATTAATGCGGCGGGTCGCGAGGTTAACGAGTCCTCTGTACCGGCAGCTCGGCGTGGAAATTGTTGCTCGAGTCTCGCCCACGCCGTACGTAAATCCGCGCCCTCCCTCATCCGAGACTGATCGCGGGATGATAGGAATAAGAGGGTTTCCTCCTTACGGCAAACACGCCTCGCGTTTACAAGCATCGTCACTTTGCGGGCGGAAACCTCCGAGGATCTGCCCTCTATATCAGCAGCAGACGCCCTTCGGTCAATCCTCATCTTTTCGCCGACGCGCGCGACGTCGGATTTCACGGCTGGCTTGCGGCTCTCCCGGGACGCGGGAAGAGGCAGGACGAGGGGGAAAGGGGGGGTCAAACTTGGAGAACGCGAGTGCATCTCTCGCGTTCGTAAATCGTCGTGCGTTATCGATCTATCGATTTCGGGAGAGTGTTTGGGTCTCCAGCCGGTACGGTGGTCGTAAGAACGACGTATTTGCGTGCGGGAATTTAAAGGTGACGGTAGAAAAAAAGAGAGAGAAAAGGAAGGAAAAGTGCATTCATCCTCTATTCGCGTTTTCTGCCTGCCCAGTGCTAACGGGATCCCCGTAAAGCCGAAAATATAAAGTTCGCTAAAGAAGATGAAGACACCCAATCGATTTTCGTCGGAGGACAATCTTCCCCGAGACCCACCGTGGAATACGCTTCCGGGTGTGTTCCATGGAAACTTCAGAAAACACGCTGTACATACATGTTGTACGCACGTGTCCACCCCCCGCTCGGTATTAAACTCCCCTGCATGGGAACACCGTGCATGTGGGCTAAGCTGTCTTATCTCCGAGCGACCTGACCTTTTTTCCTTTATTCAAGGCCCCAATGGCTAAAGTTTGTAACGTAAGTGTCAGAATTCTCGGATAAGCGCCGATAAATTCGCAATGTTGTCACTCCTTGACTCACGGCAGCTACGAGAGGGCGGTCCCCCTCGGGATTCGTTCCGACTGAGGAGATACGCTACGCGAATATCATATCAGCGTTACAAGCGCGATCGCGTTCTCGTTGATTGCGAGCGGCTAATCGATCGCCGCACCGACGATCCACCGTAATCATTGAGGACGTATCCGGTGATCGTCCGATATTGCGACTCAATTTGAATTGCAACGTCTCGTACGATCACACGATGAACACCATCGAGCAACACGAGCGGAGATATTCTCGCTTTTAGTCCATACGATCGACCGGAGGAGCGGTTTCCGCGCGTCTCGCCGCTCGAAACTGTTTCTTGCTCGCAACCGCGTTTCTTCCCGCTGTTGCAGATATCGCCGCGCCGGCTAAGACGCAGACGGCGGTGCAGCTGTCGTTCGACGACGAGGAGGACGAGTCGGTGTACGGCTCGGCGGAGATGGACAAGATGGAGAACAGACCGCTGGCGGTGGACAACACGGTGCACGGACACGTGGGCTCGGCTTCGGTCGCCACGCCGTCCTCCGCGATCCGCAGCGGCAAGAAACGGCCGGTGATCAACGCGAAATCGGGCACCGACCCTTGCCCGCGACGCTTCTCCGTCGTCTTGTCGTCATTGGTGTCGCTGATGGTCGTCTGCCGAAGGTGGTAGTGGTGAGAGACGGGAACAAGCCGAGGATTCTCAAGGACCGAGGTCAGGACACCGATTTCGGCGACAGCGTAACCACATTTGGAGAAGCGTGCCATTCGATTGACACTCGACGACCGACAGAAGTTGTTCCGAAGTTGCTTCTGTTGCGGGCTGCTGAATGAGCCCCGGGAAAGAAAGATACATTCGCGACACGTGCCTCGTCGGGCTATCGGAATCTTCTTCAGAGTAGATCCTGGGCTGTTCTTCGAACGCGTGACTCTTTGATTGCAGCTAATTATTAGTGGGGAATCGCGTGGAACGGAGCATAAGCTGAATTTCACGCTCGACGGCCGTCCTCGCGTAGGAAGAAGCGTGAGTTCCGGGCTTCGTTCAACCGTTTACTCGACAATACGCAACGAAAACAACTTCGAGCAGGCTTAAAAGCCTCACCGCCGACGACGACGATGATGACGATGTATCGTCTTCCTTGAATGGCTTATTCGTAATTCGTAGACCTAATCAATGCCGGGAGCTCGCGGAAGGGATGAACCAGGTGGGGCCGAAGACGCGGGGCGTATCTTGATCGTTGCGACTTAGTAATTGCATTGGGAGGAATCGACCGGTGAGTGCTATGTTAATTAAATTTCGAGATATGATTTCGGTCGGCGTTGTTTTCAATATTTTAGGCGATGTTCTAAATTCTTTCATTTTTACCAAGTTGCTCCTGGTACCGCGATATAATCTCATCTTACGGCGCACCGTCTCATTTGCTCTCAGAGGCGATCCGCGACACCGAGATCGATACGAACGTCTATCGAACAGAGTCGCAAATTTTATGTGAGACACAATCAATTCTCTACTTTATCATGCGTCAGAGTTCACGCGTTATCGAATAAAATCCGTGCGGATCGATTGAGATACTCGCGGCAGACAAGCGATGTTTAAGTGTATCACGAAGAAGAAAGCAACGAAAGCGAGAGAAGACAAAAGAGAAGACGACGAGAAGCGGTAGAGGCCGCAGGATGGTAAAACGGAGAGGCCGGGAAGAAGGGAGACATATCTCGAAGCGGTGACGGTTGTCGGATGGCATTCCGCGCGGAAAGGCCAAGCGGGTGCGTAATAACTCTTCAGTTTCGGCGGCGTGATGCAAATCTGCGCGATGTATATATGTACGTGTATCATATAACGGGCACGCGCTTGCACGTGTATATGTGTGCATACTGACACGTCAGGGTAACTAACACGTTCGTGCCACCTTCCCCCCATCCTTCCTCCCCCGCCGCTCCTGAATCGCGTGTGAGCGGCGCGGCGGTTCCGTAGGTAACCCCTTGTACGATCGCCGGTGTGTAATAGAATATGTATCGCGATTAACGAGTATCGACAGCTTTAAATGAGTTCGACCCGGAAGTAGCGAGGCCATCTCGCGTGCGTGCGTGCGTCCGTCTTGCAGGATCCTCTCGATCAAGCACCGGACCAATCTCGATTGCGAGACGGACGAACGGCCTCGAAGTTGTGTTCGCCACACGTCCCAATCGCAGACGCGCGATCGCACCTCCTCCTCCTTCTCTTCTTCTTCTTCTTCTTCTTTCTCCGCGAAGTTACTTCTTCCTTTCTTCGTGTTGCGCGTTGCTGTTGCCACGTTTGCTGGTCGCTACTCGAGGATTTTTTGCGACACTGATTACACAGCGGCTCTCGACAGTAAAACTCCGCCGGTGGTCAACGTGGAATTAAGTGTGACCTTTCGAGGAAGGTTTATTTCGGAGAGCTCCGCTTTCGCCGGATATCGGCGACTCTCGATAAAGAAACTTCGCGATAGCGGTCAGGCAGTGGTGAGTGATTTTCGATGATCGGTAGAACTCGAGTGTTCTACTTTCGAGAGCTGCTTTAGATATTAGAAATTCCCCGATTAAAGTAAAAATCGAATGACATTCAACTGGTATTTATATGGGAACTTTGTTCTTTCAGAGTGACTGACAATATCATAAATCTCTCGGTTTGATTTGAGGCTGAAATAAGTGACGCTAAAAGTACCCACTTAAAAGCTTTTTCTTCCTTTAGAAACAAAAATTTAATGAGAAATAACTCTCAATAAAATAAAAAACTCTCAATATTATGATTTGTAAGATAGAAAACTGTTTGCACAAAGCGACTAAGTTAACAGGTAACATGTATGAAAGGAATACCTATTTTTAAAGATAGTAAATAAAAGTTGCACGCGGGAAGTATAGTTCTTATTTTCTTACATTGACCGAATTAATGGCAAGACAATAAATTCGCTTTTTTTCGCGTCCCATAAATGCGATGTGATATTTTAAGCTAACGCAACTGGATATTTTTTATGAATTCCTCGGTTATTTGTTGAGAAGACACGAACTTTTATGTAGGAAGCGTGAGATTAAACCTATTATTTCGTCTGCAATTTCGACGCGTGAAATAAAATTATCAACAAAAAAACAAAAAATAGCAATTACAAAGCGACGGTGACGTTTGCAGCAAGAGTTAGTACACATAAAAAATATTTGCGACAATAACGACGTTTCTGAAGAACTCTATGTTGGGCGTGAACTGCAATTCGTGATTATTTAGGAGCAATTCAATCAAAAAGCTGTCAATGAGAAATTTCGTCGATCGCGCGTCCTACGATCGGGCACTGATATCCGATCTGATATCCGACTGATTGCTCGTTTCCGGCGTGAGCGAAACAACTAGTAAGTGTTCGATAGATAAAAGACGATCCTTTTTCTGACGCGCGAATTGCTCCAAGCAAATGTGCGGAAAAACGCGTGTGTGCGTGTGTATGTCTCTAAATATGCGTGCATTTGTGTGTGAGAGAGAGAAAAAGAAGTTGAAAGCAAAGGAGAGAGAGAGAGAGAGAGAGAGAGAGAGAGAGAGAGAGAGAGAGAGAGAGAGCATAAGCGATACTAATTATATTTTTATATTTCCATCCCATAGCGTGCTTACGTTCCGTAACGATAGATTCTTTGATTACGGTCAGTTTTATTCAGCCACGCCGCAATAGCGTGACGTCCGGTTTTTGCAGTGATTTCTCTAATTACACTAGATGTCGCGCAACAGCGAGCGTCGCGGCGTTAATGGCTTGTGAAAAATGTTGGCCGGCTCGGCCCTCTGTTTGCGGATCTACATTCAGCTTTCGGACGCAGTTCCACAAAGTGGATCCAGCACGGCCACGGAATAATAAAATCGATCGCATCGGTTTCACCACGCGCCGCTCTCACTACGACAGTGTGTTGTATTCACTCACCTAAATAAATCGGGCGTTCCCGCGGGCGCACGGTTTTGGATTTTTATAGCGAGCAAAATTGCGTCTCGTTACGCTTCGCGGTTCGTTATCAGAACTCGCCGACAGCTCTCGCAGGAGCCATCGTATGTGATCGCACGTACCCAATCTCCGGTAAAATCCATCCTCCCGCCGCTGCGTTCCCCATCGATCTGTCCCTAATGATCGCTTCGGCCACACTTAATTACTCTTAAATACCGGGCGAACTACTTTTACACGGAACGCGTCGGGGGAAAGCGAACCCTTCCGCTGTCTTATCGAATTACAAAGTCGACGTAAAATTCTGTAACGAAGTTCCCGCGTGCCGTGCTTTTAGATCATTCACAGTCCCGACGATAACAATGAAAGAACGTTTCAGCGAAAAATCGCCGGTATTGTTCCATATAAACTGCTTTTGTTTATCCAAATGCGATTGTTTGTTTTTTTTTTTACATTTTCATTTTTTTTGTTTTACATTTTATTTTTTTTATCGACGATAGCGAGAATTTCTGCAAAAAATTTCGAAACATTTGAAAATTCTCCCCTGTAGGAAGAATCGCGTTAATTCGAGAGAAACGTTTTGTTATGATAAAATACACAGCAAAACAAATAATTTGCTTGAGAGAGGGGAGTTAATATTTCAGAGGAACTATTACTCCCCCATCGTTATCTATTCACATTGCGCCACTGAAACGTCGCGTCTGACTAAACTTGTCGCTTGCAACGTTTTCCCGAGGAGTCCTTCAATTAACCAACGGCCCATCGCGCGTTCAATGTAATATGCAACGTGTCGCATTCGTCACTGCAACCTACGTCGAAAAATGGGCAGTCATAAAAATAAAAAAAAAAAAACTCAGTTCGCAAAGTGTCCTCAAGCGCCCACGCGAGTGTCAATGAACGGTCGCTCTCTCGGCGAGTGAAAAACAGCACTAGGGGGAGAGAGAGAGAGAGAGAGAGAATCGTGCGAAGCTTTTCCCCCCCGCCGGTCCGAATCGCGCTCGTTTCCGACACGCTCGCGGCCCGCTCCCTCTTATTTCGTCGCACAGAATCCTCGTTCCAGGACGATTATCGTCCCTCTCCGGGGGCCGACGCGAGCAACGACGCAGAGGCGGGCCGCCTCTCTCTCGGTCACCGTGAGAAATTATAAGGGCGAATCCGCCTTTAAGGACTACGAAGAAGATCTTAGTTCCACCATAAATAAACACAACTGCCCGCGCAGCTGGCGCGGACGTAATTCATCGTGAATTAATTTAAGGACCGCCGCCGCCGCCGCCGCTGCTGCCACCCCCTCGACGGCCTCCTCTGCGCTTTCATTAGAAGGCCCGCGCGCGCCGAAGCCGCGCCATTTGGCGGCTCCCGCTTTATGCTGATTTTATTTCCCTTCTTTCGCGAACTCGGGCATCTCAGGAGTAATTGTGCGGTATTATTATCCGCGGGGCGGGTAAGGCGACGGGCGCGTGAGATACGGCCCCGTCGAACCAGACGAGAGCCGAAGCGAAGAGGATTTCACGGTTCGCCGGAAGTCCTGCTTCTCGTCGTTCTCGTTCTTACTTTCGGCTTCCATTTTCATCGTCGTCATCGCGACGCCCGACGACGACGTCGACGATTCCTTCGTACGACTTCCAAACGGGCTTACCGTTCCGTTTGAACTACGGCGCGAAGTCGTTCCTGTAAAGTCGCAGCTGCAGCTGCAGCACCTCCTCGCACCAATCCACGGCCGTCTCCCTCTGCGTATGGCCGACCGTAGATTTCGGTCCCGCTTCTCGACCGTTCGCTTAATCCCCGCCGGTTACGCTTATTAAAGTCTCGAGAGGTACGACGTGTAAGCCCTTCGAGGCGGGTATATACAAGAGGGCACGGATAGTTACGTATGCGCTGGTTGCACGGCGGTTGGTTTATCGCACGCTCGCAGTCGGTTCGTTTCTCCGTTCCGACGTGCCGGACGACCGAGGGTGCAGTTTCAGAAACACGCGCCTCAACACATCGCGACGAGAACGGCCGATGTTGTTTTGCGGCACCCACACGCAGAGAATGTTTCTAGAAGATATGAACATACGTGAGCCGAAAAATACTATAGTAATCTTGTTCAGCTAGGATATACTTATAACGTCGAAACAATTTCAAGGCAGTAAGGTAAGTGTCCCAATTAGTGATAAAGTAATCTTATCGTGAAAATAAATTAATAATACACGTGTTAAGCTAAGTACATCAAAATTCTTTCGTTCGAAAATTTCAACATTTATACTTTTAATTGTATTATATTAAATTTGTTAAAATTTATTAAAATGTGTTGTAGTAAATTGTAGCAAATTTATGATTGAAATTAGTGTATAATATCTCTTCGAAAGTGACGGAAGCACCATTTAGTAATATATAATCTTGATTTGTCCCAATTTGTAAATGTTCTTAATCTTTTCTCGACTTTGACAGTACGATTTCAATCGCTTGAGGTTAGAGAATAACTACAGAAGGATATTAGAGAATAACTAAAAAAAAAAAAAAACAAATGAAGGTATATTAACAGATATATAATAATTTTGCAAGATATTGCAAGCAACTGTCCGAACTGTCGCCGTTAACAGCATGGTTACACTTATAATATTTTAGTATTTACTATCGTTTTCAATTTTGTTTACCACTTGTTATAACAGATAATATATAAAATTTGAAATAAAGTATGCATTTCTTAAGATCAATATAGAGATGTATCTGAGATTATCTGACTTATTAAGAAATAGTAAGTGCGATTGTCAAAAATTGAAATACTGTCACAAATTGGGACATTCACTTATGGACAATTTTGGAAAGTAACATGAACGATATGATTATAACTGCACATCGCTGCTCAGATATCATAGTCTATGTCACAAATATAACGTAAAATATCTCGTCTTTTTGCTGTTTTTATAGACATATATACACAATAGTACTGTACGTTACACAATAGTTACTACGCGAGATAAAATTTTCCGTCGTATTGACATTAGAAGTAACCCGCAATTCAAACTGCAGCGTTGAAAATGAATTTGTCGGTATAGGATATTTTTTATTTTCCTTGTGTTTCCTCTTGTGCGTAAATCAATTCATATATGATCGGATGAAAAAAATATATCCGTTCAAATTATTCGTTTATCGCTGTTATATATAAATTTTGGCTTCAATATAAGTATATCTTAGTCACGCAATAGAAATCTGATAAATTATAATATTAGTATGCTATATTATTCAACAGAGATTTTCTGCATGCAGGTTTCACTTACGTGCGCGTGCGATATTTCCTTCGTCCCGCTGCCGAGTCACGGAATAAAGTTGCTGTTACGATACTCACCAACCCATGAGCAGATTCAAGTCCACTCGTGATTTTTTTCTCAACACTTCTCGTATCGATTTCTTTCACATTAATGGCACTCGAGAACCGGTCTTCGCGTTTGTGTCTTAGCGTTGATATATTTTGACGCTTTAACTACCGAACGGTCCACGGATTTTTCTGCGACACGATCGAACAGCTCGAGAAGTTTGTTTTATGAGTCTTAAGTGGGTCGATTGAACTGGTGTAAAGTTCTGAGAGCCTCGGAAAAGGAGAGAATTAGCCAACTTCCTTTTATCTGCGTGAATTATCGCCTCTCTTCGTATCGTCCCTTTCGGTCTTTACGTTGGCATTGTAAGACGATGACACGTTTTCATTCAGACCTTTTTCAATCTCGCGTTATTGCAGATTATATCCGCAATATACACAAATTTCCGCGTGGTGCACGAGTTTATCGGTCCACTTCTTATTACATTTACACGATGTTATCCGTATAAATACCTTTTTTCATGTCGAAGTCGATATAATATACGATTTCTGAACTATGCTTTTTTTTTGTTCCGCCGTACCTACGCTTATCTTTTTCATGGCGCTTCTTTGATTTACTTTAGTTTCGCAGCGCGGCTTGTTGCGGCCGTTAGTTTCTTTGCGCTTATTGAGTCGTAAATAACGTCATATCTTCCTTATCAAGCGAAACACCGCGGCAAAAATCCAAATATCCGTTCTAGAATTTTTCGCTCCTCCTGCTCCACCTCCTTCTCGCGGTAGTTCCCCGGCTGCAGGAAACACTATGTTAAATTAAACTCGCGCGTAAACCAAACGAGCCTAAGATACTCTTTTAAATCATTTTATACTGATCCGTGAAGATGACCGCCGAGAAGAAACGCGACACGTATTAGCGAGAGACTCGTCTCGTCGATAACATTTTCACGCCAATCGCTCGTTATTCCCGCGAATACGACAGGCTTATGCAAAATCAAAGAACGACGAGAGAGAACTCGCTATAACAATAAAACCACCCCCCCCCCAGCTGATCATATATTGTTAACGCTGACGGATAACATCGGGATATGGGTACACGCGCGCTTCCTCCTGGGCTGCCTTTAGCTCCGCGTCTCGCAGGATAATCTGATTCCGCGCGCTTATTTTCCGACTTTTGCCTTTAACTTCGGCGACGGTATCGGGATACGGTCCGCCGGAAGTGAAATGTATTATGGATGTACCACGGGAAAAACATTCTCGCGCGAGAGCTGCCGATGAATTTTCTATGTAGCGCTGGATATGGCCGCGAGCCATCCACGAAATCCCTAAGTCGTCCGCCGTGGAAGTTATCACTGACGGTTACCTGGCAGCTGTACGTCACTGCCAGTCACGGCGAGTCCCGCGGCGGCTCATTCCTTTTGCGCTTCCAGATATACTCCTCCAGACTGCAATATCAGACAATACGAGAAAACGGAACTTCGAATACTACGGTGGGAGAAAATACTGTTAGTGGTGTGCATGATATGCGAAGGATGATTTTCTCAACCACTTAAGGACTATCTAATCCCTCGCCCACGCCCCCCCCCCTCCCTCTTATCCGCTAAGCTTTAGGATCGGTATCGTAAGTCTACGCTACGTTAACGTCAGAAGAGACGAGGATGGGAGATACTTTGTCAGTCAGCAGACTGCCTTCTACCCTATCGGTCTACGGCGTATCTTCGATGTGTAGACATATCATCG